TGAGCTAAATCCCCAGCCCTGCTGAACAACTCTTAAGAGAAGCCAAAGAAAGAGAACTTGAGTTCCTCTTGCCTCCACCTCAACAGAGGACCACAGATGAAGAAGCATTCAATAATTACAACCTCAGGGAAAGGAAGACTTTTGAAAATAACATAAGAAAAAACAGGGCTGTGATCAGTAACTGGGTAAAATATGCAGTGGGAGAAAAGTCTATGGGAAATCCAAGGGGCTCAATGAATACATGAGTGTGCTTTAGATGTAGACACTGGAGATACCACATCTGGATGAAATATACAGAAGTGGAAATGAAGAACACTTAAGTCAACCATGCCTGAAATATCTGGGACCAGGCAGTGACAACCCTGCCCCAGAAGTTCTGGCACAAGTATGCATACAAAGAGGAGATTCTGGGGAATATGGCTGATGCCTGGAAGATGTTTGAGTGCTGGATGGAGTGTCAGCTTTAGGAGCAGGCGTGGTACTTTTTTTTTTTTTTTTTTGTCTTTTTCTTTTTTTTATCGGTACTGGGGATCGAACTCACAACTGCCCGCTTGCAAGGCAGGTGCTTATGCCGCTGAGCTAAATCCCCAGCCCAGGCGTGGTACTCTTAACATTAGCTTGGAGCTGAGGTACAAGGAGGTGGAGTGGGCCTGTAGCATTGGCATTTTGTCTGGACCACCCTGAATCAAGTACACCTGCCTGGAAGAGAACCATGTTTCCGTGGCCCAAGCCCAGAAAATGTACAAGAGAGTGGTTGGATTCATTGGAGATGGACATATAGATGAACACCCTCATGTCGCCTATGCCAAGTTTGAGAAAATCAGTGAGACCTGGAAAGGGTGTGAGTCATCTACACATATGGCCTGGAGAGAATCACAAAACATGAGGCCAGAGAACTCTCAAAATATTATACCCTTTTTAAGAAGAAGTTTGGTGACAGAAGGGCACTGAAGATATGATTGTGGGCAAACACAGGTTCCAGCGTGAAGTGAGGGCTAATGCACACAGGGACTGTGGATGGTTCGATTACTTGCACTAGGGGAAAGCGAGACCAAAGCTGAGACCTGTGGGAAGTCTGTGAGGGAGCCGTGGCCAACGTCCCCCCCAAACAGGAGAAGCAGCACTGGACTACATTTACTTGGGGATCAACTAAGCCATCTACGACAAGCCAGAGGCAGAGGATCCTGAAGGTGCAAGACAGGTTCATCAAGTCTGTTTGGAATTCATCCCACGCAAATTCATGTTTGCCAAAATGTGGTTATATTACACAGTCTGGAATAAGACAGGAAAATATAGCACTTGCCCGATGCGCTCGGGGAGCGTCCATAGGCAAAGGTCCAAAGAACAAGTTGTTTAACTGTTACATCCAATTGGATTTGCAGCTTGTAGAATTCTACAGGTGCTGGAAGCTTTTATGAAAAGTTCCTGGAATTTGGACCTGAAAATTATACCTCATGAATTGAATTTGCAGAATTAGAGACAATGCTTGGCTTGATGATACTGAGAGGGCCAAAGCCATCTACAAATTGGCCATCAGCCTGTTGTACCTAGACATGCCTGAGGCACTTTGGAAATCATATGTTAATTTTGAAACAGTGGGAAAAATAGAACACTAAGTCTTTACTGAAAGCCGCTTCAACAGAGGCAAAACATCAAGATGTGGATCAGTTTTGCTCAGTCTGATTTGTGTCTGAGGAAGGAGGGGAGTATCATCAAATGCAGGCAACTCTACGAAGAAACTAATAAAATTATGCAGCGTTGGGAAGAAAAGGAAAAGAGGCTTATGCTCCTGGATGGTGGCCAAGTTTGTAAAGGAATTTGGAAGCACATCAGATAAGGAGAGTCCACAAATTCATGATGGAGAAAGTCAAAAAGAGGAAAAAGGTCCTGGCTGGGAAGAGTGCTATCATTACATCTTTCCCGAAAATGCTACCAAGTAACTCAGCCTCAGCTGGGGGCCATGGCCAAGCTCTGGAAGAAACTGCAGTGGGAAAAAGAGCCTGCTGAGCAGAATCCAGACAAAAAACATGGCTAAGAATGAATCCTGATATTGTGAAATGTATTATTTTGATCAATCAAAACTTTGGAATTTTTACGACTCCTACATGTGTATAAATTCACCAGTAAGAATTGTTTGGGATCTCAGTCAGGAGAAATGAGAGACATGGAGATAAAGACAGGTTAAAGGAAGGTTTAGGATGAGACAACGGTGGCAGGGCTTTGTGTTTTGAGAGGAGAGGCAGGCTTTAGATGATCAAGGGCTGAATTCCACAGACAGGCTTCACACCACACCTGGGTTTCATGCCTCAGGCTGTGCATAGCCTTAGGTCTCTGACCTCAAGAAGAGGATAGACAGGTGCTCAGGGTGGCAGAAGCAGCGGCCATCTGGTCTTTCTGATCATGTGATTGGGTTGACACCCTGCTTCCTACCTCAGTCCTCTGTCTAGAAGAAGGACAGATCCTCAAGGCAGAGGAAGTGTAAGAGCAGGACCAAGGGTGGAGGGTGACTCAGCTCAGGAGGTGCCCGCGCCTCTGCCAGAAGAAGTGCTTATCATGATCAGGGCTGCAGAACTCGACCAGCACATGTTGGAGAGTTTGGAGTCCTGTCCCTGGAAGCTGATAGGATGAGAAGGAGGACTCAGGAATGCTGCTGGGATTCACTCCCGCCTCACACCCCCAGTCAACCTGTGCTGGCCATTTGGGACTAGACAGGTGACTCCACAGAGAAACCCAGATTGCCCTCCCGCTGGCACTACCTATGTCAGCAGAGATTCAGGTGTGTGCGGAAAAGGGACAGGATGGAAGCAGGGAGGTGGGGGTGTCACCTGTACCGCATGTGTCATCCTCAGGCCCTGAACAGATGTCCAGTCTTCATCCCCTGTGTGGAAGGCGCTCTCACAGAGCTCTATGCAGCCTTGGCCTCTTCTCCCAGGCCTGGTCCTCATGCTTGCTGGCCTGGGATGATGGCACCTGAGCTGGAGAGGGCCCACCTGTCTTTCAGAGGGAGCCGAGTCTGGGCCCAGCTCCTTCCTGGGGCTCCCCATCAGCCGGGTAGCACATGCATGTGTTCAGCACCATCTACACTGGACAAGGATTGTCTTCCCCAGAGATAAACTCAGAAAATCACTCACAATGTGGAGCAACCTGAACAAATGCACCATACCCACAGTTCCGCAGTTTTCCACAGGAACCCAGGCCATCTAGCACATGTCCTACCCTACTCACCTGTGCACTGTGCTGCCAGCCCCTCCCTCCTACAGGAAAGAGGCCTCAAACACGATGACCATCTGAGCAAATCTCCCACGGGTATCAGTAATTATTCCTTCAGGGGGGAAAGTTTGGCCCATGCCTGTTATCCCAGCACCTGAGGCTGAAGTAGGAGGATTGCAAGTTTGAGTCCAGGCCGGGCAATTCAGTGGGACACTGTATCAGCCCCAAACATTTTTGAAGGCTGAGAATGTAGATCCATGTGAGAGTGCTTGCCTAGCACCTGAGAGATTTTGGTTTGATTCCCTAGCACCACAAAATTTAATGAAAGTTTTTAAAAACTGTCCTTTAAAAAACGTAAGGGAGGTTCTAGGCAAATTCCTGAAATCCCAGTTACTAAAGAGGCTCAGCAGAAGGAGCACAACTTCCCTGCCAACAAAGGTAAACTATTCAGGTACCTCAAGGAAACGAGAGTAAAACATCCAGTTAAAATCTCAAATAGAATATTTCTACACTGCTTCTAGTGCATCTTCATGTAACACAGAAACGCTGACAAGTTCTGAATATGCCTTACAGCCTGCCAGGAGTAGTGGCACAAATCAGGAAACCCGGCTCTGAGGAGGCTGAGGCAGGAGGCTCACCTCAAGTTTGAGGTCAGTGTGGTCTACATAAACCAATCATGTCTCTTTGTGTGATGCTGACAACTGAACTCAGGATTCACAATGTAGACCATCGCTCTACCACTGAGCTTCATTCCTAGCATTTTTGTTTTTCCTTTTTGGTGTGCTTAGGGAAATGGAGATCTCAGGATATAGACCAGGCTAGCCTCAAACTCCTGGGATCTAGTCGGCTTCCCGTCTCAGCCTCCTGAAGAGCTGGGACCAGGCTGTGCTCTGCTGTCCTGGGTCTGACAATAAATATTTTGAATATAATCTGCTCTAGTGAGTTTAAAAGCAAGAAAACCATAATACCTATACTTGTAATTGCAGAGCCTAAGCCCAGTCAATATTTCATTTCATTCACTGTTTTTGAGATACTGACGTTTGAACCCAGTACTGTCATAATAAATGACACCCCCAGGTGTTTTTTCAGGTGTTATTTTCTGAAGGTGTCTTGCTAAGAGGCCGGAATAAGTCACAGCTGCCATCTTCCTGCTATAGCCTCCCAGAATGCTGAGATTAGAGGTGTGTACCACCACGCCTGGCTGCACAGTTAATATTTTCATATTTTCTTACAGTATTATTCTGTGCGCTACTGTTATTCCCTTCTAGTTCATGTTTTCTGATTGCTATAATTAAATTATTTAACAGTAGCAAACACCAGTCCTGCTTCATCCACCCCTTCCGTGATTTTCACCAGGAGCACAGAATGGGCGGCAGTGTGGTTTGGGCCGAACCACGCCCCTGTGCAAGGCACCAGAGTGCAGCCCAGACCAGTCCAGGTGGGATTAGCCACAGGAACCTAGGAACCTGAGCAAAACCTGGTAGGACCCAGCTGGTTCTTGTGCTCCGGGAGAATGGGGAAGGCTGGGCACACGGTGTGGCCACTACAAGTGACTTTGGCAAATGCTCAGCAGGTGACCCACGTGCAAATGCAAGTCAGCGGGAACCAGGTCTCTTCTTTCCTGTTTATCTCTTAACATAGGACCCTGGAGTGAACACTTGTGTGCATTTATCCCGTCTTTTCTTACTACTGGGTTTTCAATGTCTCCACACAAAGGGAGGCCTTTACATTGGGGGACTGAAGGACACACCTCAGCTGCTGTGTGAAAACCCCTGTGCGCCTGCAGGTTCCATTCATTACCCACTCAGCAGCCTGGTTCCTGTAAATTCCACCCAGGACCCTGCTGGCCACAGTTTCCTCCAGCACATTTGGTCTTCCGGGGTGCCTGCTGTTATTTAGGGGAGACCATTTCTGACATTTGTTTACTAGAAAGCTTCCTGTTGTACCAGGTAAGAGAACTAATCATTTCACATAAAAATGCAGTAGTTTGCTTCTTTTTTTTTTTTTTTTTCTAAAGTCACTGTGGTGGTTGATTGTGTCAATTTGAGACATTTAGAAACTTAATTAACTGGGTTTAGCAACTGTACACCCTAGGGTGAGGAAGACCCACCCTGGGGTGGATCACACCTGGAGGTATAAAAAGAAAGGAGCAAAGACTAAAGCATTGCATTCTTTGGAGAGGCTCCAGGCTCTGCCTTTGGTTTGGACCTCCTCTCCTGGCTTCCAGTGTAGGCTCTTCCGCTTTCCAGCATAGACTCTTTAGCCTTCCATCATAGAGCTTTCCGCCTTCTTTCACAGACCCATCAGCCTGCTGGTGTGCACTTGCACGAGACACTAGGACGACCTCCAGACCTTGGATTGAATCCTTCGGCCTCTAGCGTTAGACACCCTCTGTTCGCTTCCTCATCGGACTCTGTGGCCGACCATCGTAAGCCAATCTTGCCATTTCTTATACATTTGTATGTCTCGTGTTATATCTTTTCTCTAGTAAAACCCTGACTAATGCAGTCACTTAATGGTAAAGTACTCTTAGGAAGCCTGTGTTGGGGGCTACAAATTCACAATGGCTAATTTTGCATACTTCTCTAAGGGATAAAATACAGGTTTGCGATTATCAGTATCACCCATCTGAGATTTCCCATTGACTCTTCTTAACATAAAACCATCTATGCCCTCGTAAATTATCATAGGACTATACTGCAGGAGAAGATTCTTAGCATAAAATCATCTACAAGGCTGGACGTAGTAGTGCACATCCATAATCCCAGCATTTAGGAGACTGAGGAAGAAGGCTCCTTGTGAGTTCAAGACCAGCCTGGGCTACAAAGTGAGCTCAAAACCAACCTGAACTGCATTGCCAGACCCTGTCCCAAAAAGACAAAACAAGACAAAAAAGTCTTCTTTGAGCTCCGAGGCATCCCCGGATTATGCTTCCCCATGGACTCACAGACCTCTGACTCTGCTGTCAGATTGGGACCTTTCACTAGCCTCACCTGTCTCGATATGTGCCCAATAAATAGTGGCGTTTGAAGTGCGGGAGAGGACCCTTCTGGAGACGCGACTTCCCACTCACTCCGTGTCACTAAACTTGTCTCTGTTTTTTATTTTCTCACTGTACCCTTATCACAGACAACTGGAGTTCTTTGCCAGCTCCTCGATGAGCTACTTTTTGTGTGTGTCTATTATATATAACCTTAATTTCTTCAGGGGCAGGATACTCTCTTGTACCCCTTGACCATTTTTGTAAGATGATTTTTCTTTTGAATTTGTACAAGTTTTTTATATTTTAGGGATTTTAACACTTCCTATTTGGATCCATTAAAAATATGACTGTTGCCCTAATTTAATGACATTCTGTATTCTAAAAGACTTTTTTTCCTTTATGGTTCTTGGTTTCACACCTGGCTATCATTTTAAAATCTGATTCTCTTGTGACTAAGCTTCTAAGAATTAAAGTATCTGATCTATAATATAATGCAATTATTGGCATCTAATTGATCAAGTAGATTATATATTATATATTTAAGTATCATATAATGTAACATAAATTTGTGTGCATAGCTGGGGGATTGAAACTAGGGTATTTACTTTAATTTCCTGCTTTTTAAAATTTTCTTTTTATTTTCTGCTCTTTTATTTTGGTCTCACGAAGTTGCTCAATTGCACAGGCTGGATTCTAATTTGCGTTAGTCCCATCTCAGCCTCCCAGAGTTCTGCAATTAAAGGCCTGTGCTTCCAGGACCAGGTGAGTGCCATGTGCATTTGCATAAAGTTTGGTATTTGATTGTCTACAGCTCTTAGGAGCGCTCAGGTTATTTTCCCTTGTGCGTATTTCCCTGAGTGACTTACTATCCCTCGGTGGAGCCGAGACTCAGCCTCCACTCACTTCCTCTTTACTCTTTCCGTGCCCGGGCTGGGAGCAGGCCTCCCACACCCAGCCAAGCCTCTGCCACAGAGCTGCAACCTCGGCCCACCCGCCTCCATCTGCTCCCTGTGCATGTTTTCCACAGATTTAGACACAGAGCCCCTCACGTGCAGACAGAAGGGAAGGAGGCACAGCACAGTGTGGCCTGGTTCTGGTGCCAAACACAGGCTCCATGTCACAGCGCTGCATCGCTGCCTTATTTCTGCGGAGCTGGAAATGTCTTGAGTTCTTGCACTGGAGCTGGGCAAACACAGAAGCAGAGAGCCAGAAGCACTGCCCAGCAGGACAGTGGGCCAAAAACAGCCATCCTGTGTCAGTAGGGTTCCTTCTCCCCACCAAGAACCCTGAGGACCAGGGTAAAGATATCACTGGCCCCACATGCCTTAGATCCACCAGATGCCCACGCTCACACAGGAGAGCTGGGGTGGGGGCAGCAGGCTGAGGCCAGGTCCAGTGCCCGGTGCTGAGCACTGGAAGAGGAGGTAGAGCCTGAGTATGCTTTGTCTGAAAAGCCAGGGACACAAAAGTTTCCAGATCGGGAGTTTTTTCCAAGTCAGAACACTGGTGTGCTCTGTACTAGTTAACCATCTGTTGCCTAAAATCTCAAATCTGAAAGGATTCAAAATCTTGGATCACAAGGTAAATTTTCAAATCAGGGATGTGCAACCTACATGTGAAAAGAGCTGGGCCTTTTAAGCCTCCAGTGCCTGATGTGGGGAACGTTACCCACTAAGTTTCAAAACCTACCACACAGCTCTCTTCCGCAGTACAGGAAAACCTGCATGTGACAGGAGTGCAAGAGTCACAACAGGACAAAAACAAGAAAATAAACAGGTCTAAAAATCTATGGAAATTTAAGCCCAGTGTAATGTCCCATGCCTGTAATGCCAGTATTCTAGAGGCAGAGGTAGGAGGGTCACAGGTTCAATCCCTATTTAGGCAATTCACTGATTTAGTGATACCTATCTTAAAATGAAACATCTAAAACAAATTTAAAAGAACATCAAGACTCATCCTAAACTACATCAGCATTTTGGAGCAGACATAGTGCTCTTTGCGTGCAATCCCAGTCTTCTGGGAGGTGGAGGCAGAAGGGTCACAAATTGGAGCCCACCTGGGAGGTTTAGATATTTTAAGAAACAGGAAGTTTAATATTTTTGTTTCTTTAGACAGGGTCTTGCTGTGCCGTTTAGACTGGCCTTGAAGTCACTGTGTAGCCCAGGCTACAACTATTTTTCTCAGCCTCCCAATTCCTGAGATTATAAGTGTGTGTTACTATACCTGACTGTAAAATAAAAAGATTTTGGGATGTAACACAGTACAGAGGTGCTAGATCCAATCTCCAGTACCACAAGAATTGAGGAAAAGGAAAGGAGAATAAAAAACCCTCCTCTGGTGAAACACTATGGAGATTTGAGGTTTTGGGGGGTCCATTTGGCTGTGCAGTGTACAACTGATGCGCTCTAATACCAGCCCACTGGGGTCTGCAGCAAGAGCATCCGGGCAGTGTGGCCCCTGTCTGGCGAGCCCTCCCCGCCATGGGCTTTGCCTGTTGAAACTTTGCTCTGGGTCCTCTTGCTGGAAGAAGATACAAAACGTTTTTCTTGGGCTGAGGTCCAGAAGCTGCCTCCTGGTTCATGTGTTCAGTCTTTGACTTTGAATTTCACCGTTTATATCTAAAGTATAAAACTTGACTCTCAAGTAATACTGACGCTTCAGGAGGTGACAAGAGCCTCTTGTTTTTCCTCACTGGGAGGTTGAACCCAGGCTGTTCACACTGAGTTACCAGCACCATTTTATTTATTTATTTAGAAAAGGGGTTTGTCTAAGTTATGCAGGCTGACTTTGCACCTAGATTCTCCCACAAGCGCCTTCTAGAGTGCCCTGTGGCTAGTACTCCCATGTTAAAAATATTCTTCTGGTTTTCCTGGGACACCTTCCTACAGTTTTATAAAGATTGGGGTGGTGGTGCTGGGGTTGGTGCTTTACCATTCAACTATATCCCCAGACCTGTAAAGTAACTAGTATTGCAGACCTGCAGTGTAACTAGTATTTGGAACAATTCTTGCAGTCTTACAGGCAGACCTGTAAAGACATATTTTAAACCTTTAAGAACTGAAGTGCCACCAGGCATGATGGTGCATGTCTGTAATCCCACCTACTGGGGAGACTGAAGCAGGAGGGCCACAAACTTAAGAGTAGTCAAGGGACGTTAGAGAGAGCCTTCTCAAAATAATAAAGGTCTGAAGATGCAGCTCAGGGGGTACAGTGCCCTGGGTCAGTCCCCAGGATGGGTAGGTGGGGATACAGTGACCAATTCTGGCCTCTGAGTCTTCTAGGAGGGGAACACTAGTGTCTCGTTTAAAAGCCAGCCCTTTGAACTACACCCTCAGGATAGCGGAGAGAGTGACGTTCTAACTGGTAACACAGTAGGTGCCACTCACAGCGAGGCATGAGCTTTCTGCTTCAGCTTTTGGTGATCCTGGCCTGTTGTCTATTTTTCTTGCTCCCTTAACCTCAGCAGCAAAACATCAGAATGTACCACCGTCTGTGGGATAACAATCCAAGGATCAGTCTGCTGAGGAGAATCTGGCAGAAGTCTAGAAACTCTGGATGCATCTTGGTTTCCTGCATGGGACTTGTGACTGTGGCTGTGGGAATGGTTCTCGTTTTACGGGCCCACTCTGCATCTGTGAGTTTCGCTATTGGAATAACAATTATATTTATAAGCTCATTTATAGTCTTCTTTGCCGGTTTGTCGGCCTGGTTTAGAGCTCAGGAAATGCTACAGATAAGCCAGGACACAGGTGGCCAGCAGGACGGGACTGATTCATTCTGTGTGATACAGGACATTCTGGACACAGGCAGCCCCTCCCTGTGATACAGAGACCTGTGATATCAGAAACCCGCTGGAATGTTGAAGTCTTTAAAGTGTTTGTTTTTGAGCCAGGGTCTTGCTATGTAGTACAGGCTCGCCTTGAATTGGCGTATGTCGCTGCCTGAACTGATGGTAATATTCCTGCTTCAGCCTCCTGAGTGCTGAGATTACAGGGATGCACCACTATGCCTGGCTTAAGTATTGTTTTTAAGTACAAATAAAATTTGCGCATTTAAAAAACAAATTAAGTGTTTTCTTTAATTGAAAAGCTAACAAACTGTTTACTTATATTTCTCCCCCAAACCACAAACTTGGTATCTATTGAGTCTCTAGGCAACATATTCAAAACTGAGAAGATTAAAAATTTAAAAACAAATAAAACAAGTCCTGGGGGGGGGGCTGGGGATTTAGCTCAGCGGCATAAGCACCTGCCTTACAAGCAGGCAGTCGTGACTTCGATGCCCGGTACTGATAAAAAGCAAAAAGACAACAACAACAAAAAAAACAAGTCCTCAGGTCCAACTAAGCGAGCCCTGCTACAAATAGGCCAGTTGTATAAGTGATACTGTTTGAGACGAGGAGATTGGAAGACATCCTAAATAACCCCACTCGTAGCCTTTTCCAGTTTCCATCTTCTGAATAAAGTTAATTATTTTGTTAATTGTATTTCAAGTTGTTTTATTTATGCCAGCTTGTTTTTTTGGTACAGAGAATCAAACTCTGGGCTTTGTGCTTGCCAGGCAGACACTGGGCCACTGAGCTATATCCTCGGCATCTACAATGCCAGCTTTTAAAAGATCAGTAAAGTTAAGTGGATAATAAACTAAGAAGCAATCCCATTACAAAAAGAAGGGATACTCAAAGTGTCAACTTTCTACAGAGAACCCACTCTTCAGTTTAATTCGGGGTAAAGAAAAACGGCAACTTTTGCTCAGGCCAGAAGAAATTAAGCCACTGGTTTTAAATCTGTACTCAGACCACAGATGCATTGAGGATGATACTATGCTAATGAGGGTGGTTTTCTGCTGCATTTGTCTATTGTTTGATATTAACAATTATTGGTAGCAGTGTAACTAGTATTTGGAACAATTCTTGCAGTCTTACAGTGTCAGGCACAACATTTCACTTCTCTTTACACCACTGGCTCTCCTTGCATACCTGGGCTTCCTCCTTTTCAGTACAGTCCTTTTTGATACTGAAAGTCTGGCAGATTTTCTTGGAGTTTCCCCCTTGATCATATTGGCAGAAGTCTTGATGTAACATCAAGCAAACCTTTGAGGTTTAGCTGCCCGAATAAGTTCAAAAAGGGTTCTTCGATCAGCTTTCAGAAATTTTGGTCCCAAACAAGCATACCATTTGTTGACTTTATGTTCCCATCATCCTCAGGAGGAGGAGGGTCATGCTTGTGTTGGGTACACCCCTGAATGACCTTTTTTTTTTTTTAACACTGGTATGTTAAATGTTAATGACCTTTTTTTTTTTTTTTTTTTAACACTGGTAGCAGAACTGGCTGGCTCATCATCCATTGCTGAGGTCTGGCATTTCTGACTTTCTTACACATCCTGACCAATCTGATCCTTCTCCTAGCAGTCTATACTCTGAGGAAATAAAACATGAAGGTTAGGAGCATTGCACAGGGTTGGAAGTGACAATAGGTACAATATAGCATCTCCTGAGGGCAGGGGAGAGAGAGGCAGTAGATACCATGGACCCCAGAGCTTCCCAGCAACAGGGCGGAGCTACGGACCAAAGGCCCCACGGCACTTCACTTGCTGTCTGGAAAATTTCAATCCATATACTCGGTTTGGCAAAGCTATTCTGCCCAGTTGTCACTGGCCCAGTTAACACACGTACCCCTCAGGCAGCTTTGCGTCCAAGAGACTTTTTGAGGACCTCAAATCACGGACATCTGTACCCGAGCTCACATGCATTTGCACTGTCACCTTAATTGAGAGGAGTCATCTATGGATCACTTCAAGTCAGGCCCCAAATTCCTATTAGCAACCTGTGGTCTGCGTAGCACATGTGGAGAACCCAGCAATTTCACAGACACTTACTTACCCTGTGTGTAAAATGTTACATTTTGGAAATACTGAGAAAATCTCCAGTGCAAGACATAATATGTTCGGGTGAGGTGGCGCATGAAAGTAATCCCAGCACCCTGGGTGGCTGTGGCAGGAAGATCTCAGATTGGAAGCAATTTAGAAAAATACCAAGTCTTTGTCTCAAAATAAAAGCCTAAGGATATTCCTCAGTCAAAAACAATTTTCTTAAAAAACAAAACAAAAAACCCAGGGTCAGACTAGCCCATTCCTGAAATCCCAGCAACTTGACAAGTGCAGGCTGAAGAATTGCAAATTTGTGTTCAGGCTAGGCTACATCTGGAGAACCAATTTCAAAAATACAAACAAGCCAAAAAGGGGTTGGAGATGCATTCTAGCTTTCCTTGTGTTCAATTCCCAAGAACTATTAGAAATAAAAAGTCAGAAGAAACTTTCAAAGGCAAATTTTATTTTATTATTAAAAACAATACTTAGAAGGCTTCATGGAATTACAGGGAGGAGCTGGCTGTCCTGGAAAGTCCTGTTCTGCACTGTCAGAAATTCCTTTCCCACTGCCCCGTTTGCAGTCTTCTCAGCAACAGCTTAATAGCTCTACCCCACGCCAACAAACACATATAGATGAATAAACACAAGCTGGCTACTATGAACATTATTCCAAGGATGATGGCCATGGGGTCAGAGGGGTTCTGCACAATGAAGAATATTCCCATACTCAAAGCCACTAATACCAGGAAGAAAAAAAAGGAAGTATTCCAGTTTCTATGCATCCGCCAGATTCTCTTCAGCCTGAGCCTTGGATAATCACGCTGCTGGTACATTGTGATGGACGGCTGCAGAGGTTAAGGGGAAAAGACAGATGGACAGACAGAAAAAAATGAAAGAAGACAAGTCAAATTCACCAAAAGCTGAAGTAGGAAGCTCGAACTTTGCTGTGAGTAGTACCAGAACTTCAGACTCTCTACTTTCCTGAAGGTACAGTTCAAAGGGCTGTTTTTTGTTTGTTTGTTTTTGTCTTTTTCATTTTTATCGGTACCAGGGATCAAACTCATTGACCACACACTTGCAAGGAAGGCGCTTATGCCGCTGAGCTAAATCCCCAGCCCCTAAAGGGCTGGCTTTTTAAGGAGACACTAATGTTTCCCTCCTAGGAGACTCAGAGGCAGAATTGGTCATTGTATCCCTACTCACCATCCTGGGGACTGAACCCAGGGCACTCTACCCCTGAGCTACACCTCTAGTCCTTTATTATTTTGAGAAGACTCTCCCTAACTTGCCTAGGCTCACTTAAATTGTGTCCTCCTGCCTCAGCTTCCCTAGATCTGGGATTATAGGCCTGCACAATCACACCTGGTGGCACTTTAGGCCTTAATGATTTCCAATACAACTTTACAGGCCTGGGGATGTAGCTGAATGGTAGAGTACCAGTCCCAGAACCTCCCCAATCTGTACAAAATTATAGGAAGCTGTCCCAGGAAATCCAGAGACAATATTTCTTACAAGGAAGTAACTGAAAGGCTCTGGTAGGAGAATCTCAGGTTTGGGAGCTGGAGGTTTAGCTCAGCGGCATAAGTGCCTGCTTGCAAGCAGGCAGTCGTGAGTTTGATCCCTGGTACCGATAAAGAGGAAAAAGACAATCTCAGGTTTGAAATTAGTCTGGGAAAGTCAGAAAAACCCTATAATAAATAAGTACAATACAATACAATACCTCCCTAGCTGGTAGCTCAGTGTGAATAGCCTGGGTCCAACCTTCCAGTGAGGAAAAACACTAGGCTCTGTCACCTCCTGAAGCGTCAGTACTACTTGAGAGTCAAGTTTTACACTTTAGATATAAACGGTGAAATTCAAAGTCAAAGACTGAACACAAGAACCAGGAGGCAGCTTCTGGACCTCAGCCCAAGAAAAACGTTTTGTATCTTCTTCCAGCAAGAGGATCCAGAGCAAAGTTTTAACAGGCAAAGCCCATGGCGGGGAGGGCTCAGCAGACAGGGGCCACACTGCCCGGATGCTCTTGCTGCAGACCCCAGTGGACTGGTATTAGAGCGCGTCAGTTGTACACTACACAGCCAAATGGACCCCCAAAGGCCTCAAATCTCCATAGTGTTTCACCAGAGGAGGGTTTTTTTTTAAATTCTCCTTTCCTTTTCCTCAATTCTTGTGGTACTGGAGATTGGATCTAGCACCTCTGTGCTGTATTACATCCCAAACTCTTTTTTCTTTTCTTTTTCTTTTTCTTTTTTTTTGTCTTTTTCCTTTTTATCGGCACCGGGGATCGAACTCACGACTGCCTGCTTGCAAGGCAGGCGCTTATGCCGCTGAGCTAAATCCCCAGCCCCCCAAACTCTTTTTTTTTTAATTGTTATTTTACAGTCAGGTATAGTGACACACTTATAATCGCAGGAATTGGGAGGCTAAGAAAAATAGTTGTGAGTTCCAGGGCAGCCTGGGCTACATAGTGAGTTCAAGGCCATTCTAAACTGCATAGCAAGACCCCGTCTAAAAAAACAAAAGCAAAAAAATTAAGCAAAATCATCACTGGCTCTTACTAAGTTGCCCAGCTGGGATCAAATTTACCATCTACTTGCTTCAATTTTACCACAGTGCTACACCTGAAGACAAGGATCACCGTGTCTGCTCCCACAGCTGGCTGTTGTTTAGGCTGGATAGTGGTGTTCCTCTTACATTCTGCGATGTGTTTTACTGTGAGACAGGTCTCACAGTTGCTAAGCTGCCCAAACTGAGCTTGCAGTGATGACTTCCTGCCTCAGCATCCCAGAACGCTGCTTTCCAGGCATGGACACCATGCCGGGCTTACATCTCCATCGGTATTCAGACTGGGTTCTCATGCTTGTTTTGTCCTGTTGTGACTCTGGCACTTGTAGCCCGTGTGGGTTTTGCTGAGCTGCAGAAGAGAGCTGAGAACTTAGTGGGTAACGTTCCCCCAGCAGGCACTGGGGCGGTGCCTGGTGCTTTCACATACAGGTTGTGTACCTCGGATTCCACCAATCTCACTGGTGCTCAACAGATTTCAGATTTAGAGTCATATCAGATTTGCAATTTTCAGAGGTGGCGTGATTGCATGGGGAAAAAAAAAAAATCACACACAAATGTTCCTAAATCCAAAAAACTCCCATTTTGAAACCTTTTGTGTCCTGAGCCTGTCTGATAAAGCACACTCAGCCTCTAGCTCCTCTTCCAGCACTCAAACTGGCCTCAGCCTGCTGTCCCCACTTCAGCTTGCCTATAATTGGTATAGATCATGAAACACCACATTTTATCCAAGTAAATACTGTACTTACCTGGTCCTGGTAGCCCAGGCCTGTAATTCAAACACTTTGGGAGGTGGGAGGATCACGAGGTGGAGTCCAGCAAGGGCAGGTTAGTGACTTGGTTTGACTCTGTCAAAATAAAGAGACCTGCTGGTGTAACTTAGTTCAAAGCCCTCTCTGTTCCAGCCCCCAATTACTCAAATTCACACACCTACAATACATAGGATGCATAATATGCCCCATGTGATCAATGGATTGTAATAATCCCAACGATAGTGTCTGCCAGAGTTCACAGTTAGAAACTTCATCACAAGAAAGTCAAATTTCAAGTTTGTAGCCAGATATGTAATCCAGAGACAGAGAAAAATTTTTAACTATAAGATAGCAGCAAATTAGGACAACTATCACATTTGCAGTGAATAAAAATAGAAAGTGTTAAGATCCTTTAGATATAAAACTCTACAGATTCAGAAGAAATATGCAGCAGATGTCAGAAAGAGAAGGGTCATGAGGAAGAGTCCTGCAGCCACAGAAATACAGATTTGCAGCATAATATATACAGATGGATATGCAGCTCACCCAAGAGTGTCATACAAAACATTTTAAAGTGACTTTAGCTTTTAAAAAAGACGTGAAATGATGGAATGTCTCACCTGGTACAACAGGAAGCTTTCTAGTAAACAAATGTCAGAAATGGTCTCCCCTAAATAACAGTCAGGCCCTGAAGACCAAATGTGCTGGAGGAAACTGCAGCCAGCAGAGTTCTGGGTGGAATTTACAGGAACCTGTAAATTACCTGAGTGGGTAATGAAAGGAACCTGCAGGTGCACAAGGGTTTTCACACAGCAGCTGAGGTTTGTCCTTTGCTCCCCCAATGTAAAGGCCTCGGTTTGTGTGGAGACATTGAAAACCCAGTAGCAAGGAAAGACTGGGGATAAATGCACACAACTGTTCACTCCAGGGTCCTATGTTAAGAGATAAACAGGAAAGAAGAGACCTGGTTCCCTCTGACTGGCATTTGCATGTGGGTCTCCTGCTGAGCATTTGCCAAACATGTTGCTACTGAGTAGAGGTCACTTGTAGCCACCAGACCCTGTGCCCAGCCTTCCCCATTCTCCCAGAGCATAACTTTTGCTCAGGTTCCTAGGTCCCTGCGGCTAATGCCATCTGGATTGGTCTGAGCTGGACTCGGGGTGTGGTGCACAGGGGCATGGCCCGCCCCAATCAAGACTGCTGCCGATTCTGTGCTCCTGGTGAAAATCATGGAAGGGGTGAATGAAGGGGGGCTGGTGTTGGCTCACTGTTAAATAATTTAATTATAGCAATCAGAAAACATGAACTAGAAGGGAATAACACTAGCGCATAGAATGATACTGTAAGAAAACATGAAAATATTAATTCTGCAGTTAATATTAATTAACTGCAGCCAGGCATGGTGGTACACACCTCTAACCCCAGCATTCTGGGAGGCTAAAGCAGGAGGATGGCAGCTGTGACTTATTCCGGCCTCTTAGCAAGATACCTTCAGAAAATAACACCTGAAAATACACCTGGGGGTGTCATTTATTATGACAGTACTGGGTTCAAATGTCAGTATCTCAAAAACAGTGAATGAAATGAAATATTGACTGGGTTTAGGCTCTGCAATTACAAGTATAGGTATTATGGTTTTCTTGCTTTTAAACTCACTAGAGCAGATTATATTCAAAATATTTATTGTCAGACCCAGGACAGCAGAGCACAGCCTGGTCCCAGCTCTTCTGGAGGCTGAGATGGGAAGCCGACTAGATCCCTGGAGTTTGAGGCTAGCCTGGTCTATATCCTGAGATCTCCATTTCCCTAAGCACACCAAAAAGGAAAAACAAAAATGCTAGGAATGAAGCTCAGTGGTAGAGCGATGGTCTACATTGTGAATCCTGAGTTCAGTTGTCAGCATCACACAAAGAGACATGATTGGTTTATGTAGACCACACTGACCTCAAACTTGAGGTGAGCCTCCTGCCTCAGCCTCCTCAGAGCCGGGTTTCCTGGTTTGTGCCACTACTCCTGGCAGCCTGTAAGGCATATTCAGAACTTGTCAGCATTTCTGTGTTACGTGAAGATGCACTAGAAGCAGTGTAGAAATATTCTATTTGAGATTTTAACTGGATGTTTTACTCTCGTTTTCTTGAGATACCTGAATAGTTTACCTCGGCTAGCAGGGAAGTTGTGCTCCCTCTGCTCAGCCTCTTTAGTAACTGGGATTTCAGGAATTTGCCTAGAACCTCCCTTATGTTTTCTATAGGGGAGTTTTCAAAAAACTTTCGTTAAATTTTGTGGTGCTAGGAAATCAAATCAAAATCTCTCAGGTGCTAGGCAAGCACTCTCACATGGAGCTACATTCTCAGCCTTCAAAAATGTTTGGGGCTGATACAGTGTCCCACTGAATTGCCCGGCCTGGACTCAAACTTGCAATCCTCCTACTTCAGCCTCAGGTGCTGGGATGACAGGCATGGGCCACCCCCCCCCCCAGAAATAATTACTGAAACCTGTGGGGGATGTGCTCAGACGGTCATTATGTTTGAGGCCTCTTTCCTGTAGGAGGGAGGGACTGGTAGCACAGTGCACAGGTGACTAGGGAAGGACACGTGCTAGATGGCCTGGGTTCCTGTGGAGAACTGCAGAACTGCGGGCATGGTGCATTTGGTCGGGTTGCTCCACATTGGGAGTGATTTTCTGAGAGTTTTTTTTTCTGGGAAAGACAATCCATGTCCAGCGTGGATGTTGTTTAACACACGCACATGCTACCTGGCTGTTGGGGAGGCCCAGGAAGAAGCTGGCTCCCCCAAAGGACAGGTGAGCTCCCTGCAGCTCAGGTGCCATCATCCCAGTCCAGCGAGCCTGAGGGCCAGGCTTATGAGGAGAGGCCAAGGCTGCACAGAGCCTTGTGAGGGCGCCTCCCACCCAGGGGATGAGGACTCGACCCCTGTCCAGGTCCTGAAGATGACAGATGAGGTGCAGGTGACACCCTCAAACTCCCTGCCTCCATCCTGGTGATTTAGGGGAATGAAACACCCAACCTATTATATGTCCTGAACAAGTTCGTGTTCTCTAAAATCGAAGAGTGAATTTTAGGAACAATGATGGTTAACAGAAATATATATTGAGAGAAGGAAAGCTTCTGTCTGAGAAAGAGACAGAAGGGGTCCCAAATGGGTTGCTACAGATTCTGTATTTTCTTGGGATTTTTATAGAGTAAAATCATGAGGTGAGGCAGGTGTAAGGTGGGGAAAACTGGGAACAGACAAGGCCGACGAGCATGAGGTGGGACAGAGAGATCGTCAACCAATAAGTTTAGTTGTTCAGATAAAATTGACCTAGCCAGGGACAAATGGGGAAGTGAGTCACATAGCAAAGGAGCATTCTTTACAGGCAGCTGAGCTAGTTAGTCAGACAGAGTTAGGCTCTGGAAGGAGCTGACACCAGGGGGTCAAATGTCTGGTGACCTTGGAGGAGGCACACATCTCTTGCTGTGGGCCAGAGCTCCCAGACCGAAGGCAAAACCCTTAAGTATAATCCTTAGGGATTAAATCTAGATCACCTTGAGAAGCCAGGAGTCACCCCCCCCATAGGAAGAGTCACTGATCCATAATGATCAGCTCTCTTCCCCCAAACACAAAGCCCTGCCACGGTGGTCCCCTCCTGCTTTACCCCTTTGCTCATCTGTCCTGCTTCTCCTTGCTGTCATCCCCTCTCCGCTGCCTACAAACTCTTCCTCCATAGACACATTCTCCCATGGGAGGATCTCCCCAGCAGCTGCTCTGTTCTCTGATGCTCTCATCTCCCAAGATGTTCTCTGCAGAAATCTGCTTCTCACACACTTAGCCTTTTCCTCTCCAGCCTAAGTAGTTCACAGTTTTCCCGCTCTAGACCATCTCCTCTTGCTTAGAAATCCTTCCCTCACCTTGCTTCTGACCAGCTGTTTCCATTTTCTGGATTGTCTCTCTGTAGCATGAAAGGTAACTGGAGACTGGGTGAAAGCCTCCCGTGGGAGTGGAAGAGCTCAGGAGGCTCCACCTTGCCTGTGTGCTCCTCCCTGTGTGCTCAGCTGGGGCAGGCGTCCCCAGCTGAGAGGCCTTTGGTGTATTCCTGTATAGAATGAGTATCTGAGCACCCACAGAATTTGCTTCTTTCATCCTGGTGTTCCTGCATTTCACCTTCAATCTTGTCTGTTTAGTTCCTCCTTGTTACGTTTTCATAAATCTTCCATCTATCAGGGCAAGGGTTTCTATTTGTTCATGTGATTTTCTGTTTGTGTTGCCTACATGAAAATAATTCAGGGTTTTCTTTTTCAGAGTGAACAAATTTGGATGAATAACCAGAAGCTAAGGGGTCCAAAATTATCATTTAATATCTAGCAAGCACTTCACAGTGACAGGGAGACACACAATAAGAAGGTGAAAAAAGTCCATTTTCATTTTATAGTCCCTGACAGAACTTTATTGTGTCCTTTATTTTGGTTGGTTGGTTTTTATGATTTGTTAGGAATGCATCCCGCCCTATAATTCAGGCTGTCCTGGAACTCACTTGGAGTCCATGGTAGCCTTCAACTTCCTCTGATGTTCCTGCCTCGGCCTCCAGAGGGCTGGGATTATGGCCTGCACCACCATACCAGGATCCTGTTTTCTGGGGAAAGCGGGAATGACATGTGTTTCTTTCACAAGCCTCCTCCTCTTGCCATATGAGACCCAACAATCTGCGCATTCTAAACTCCAGCTCAGTTTTCCCACTTAGTTATTCAGAACAGATATCAAAGAAGTATCTCCATTTAGGAGAGTTGAAGTTCTACCACGTAACTATAAGTTATAAGTAAAATAGTTGAAAGGATAAAGTGTCCTAAAGGAGACAATAGTTACGTATATATACCATGTCTATTAAAATATTCAACACAGAAGTTCATAAGAAAAGAAATGGAAATTCCTACAGTATCTGGAAAAAAACATAAAATAAATATAGTAATCATTCTATAGCCAGAAAACCCAGTGAAACTTACACTAAGTGTTAAGTCCCACTAAGACACTCGCATGCCTGACATGTTATATTGTAATAGTAATTCTTTTGCAATTTGACAGGCATGCATCAAATGGCCTCAACAGCAAGAGGAAATTTTTTTTTTTTTTTTTAGGCAACAGTTAGTGGCCTTTATTTTTTGTTTTTTATCGGTACCAGGGATTGAACTCACAACAGCCTGCTTGCAAGGCAGGTGCTTATGCCGCAGAGCAAAATCCCCAGCCCCTAGTGGCCTTTATTTTTAACATTTGTAGAAAACTGATAGATTTCAAAATTCATTACAAAAGTTATCAGCAGCAGTTTTAAGCTGTCAACAATGCTGACAAATCCCGCTTTGCTGACACAACAAGGCATATATTCCGCGTTCAAAACCCAAGATTTATCCCAACAGAGTCTATCACATCTGCCACATGGCTCAGGACCCATTTGTGACTGTATCTTCTTCCATCTCCTCCTCACCATCATCAGTGGGACCTGATCTGCATTCCCTGCCAGGTATCTGACCAGACTGCAGCAAGCCCTTCGGCCTCTCCACTTCAGCCAAGGTGGATGCCTTTGCTATAGCGGTTAGCAAGAGGAAATATTAAAAAATCAAAACATCAAGGCTGGGAGGAACTTCTGTCAGGAGAGATGTGAGTGAGGAGAGTAAGATGCAGATGGTGACCCAGGAAAACTCTGCTTCCTCTCGCTCTCTCCACAGGCTCCCCAGCCCAGGGAAAGAAGATGTGGTAATTGTCTATGATTGCTTCTTGTAAATTTTGCACTGTTCAGTGCAGGCCACACAAGAACCATCCCCTCCCGGGGCTATCATAGCGTCAGTGTGGTCTTCCTGCTGGAAACCCCCATAGTCCCCAGCCCAGACCCCTGCAAGGCAGACAGGGAGCAGGGGCAGTTCTCTAGGTGGCAGGCTTGAGGTTTTGAATCTCTCCCAGCTACACCTACAACCGGCTTGCAAAGCCCGCTTTCCCTGTGAGGCTGGCTACTCTCTTAACCCGATCCACAGCCCTCCTTTCCATTCTGCTCTTCTGACTTTGGTGATTTCCACTTACACCGAGTTTCCTGCTTTAGAGCAAGGCCTTGAGGTAACACTGTTGGGGAGCACAGCACCCTCAGAGAAGGCCTTTACTCCCCCCGACTCACATCTTCATTTTCCCTCTTACCTCACCTCGCACTTCTCACCTCCACACCACAAACATAACTAACAAATAGGCCTACAGTGTGACCTCCGCAGCACCTACTCCATCCCTACTGCGCTCCCTCATGTGTCACCACCGTGCTCGCTCCTGAATTGTCTACCTGCATACACCTCAGCCTACTCCCCTCCCAAGCCCACACTGTCATGTGTTCATGGGAAGGTGTCATGTGGAGATCACATTTGTTGTTAAGCTGCCTCCACTCTGACAAATATCCATGCCCTATGCACAACAGCAAGACATGTACTGACTGGACAGGAGAAATTCCTCCAAAAGGAGTGACATGGGTCAGGAAGATCTCCCAGGGGCCCTGGGGCCATAAGCGCCATGTGTGCACCTGAACTGGGGTGAACACACAGGCAGGGATACTCTCTTCCCTTTCGGAATATGTAGCCTCTGCCATCTGACACCACCCTGCTGCACATTCAGTGCTGTAACTAAATCCCGAATGACAGATATCTCTCAGGACTGGTAGACCTCCAGTAAATGACAAAGAGTAAAACTGAAAACACACCTTCTGGGAAAAACAGAAATCTGTATCTAGTGGATACTCACTGGGGATGGAAATCAATATTTCATCAGCAGTGTCATTTATACCCAATTGACATAAGGGATAAGGGTGAGGGCGGGCAAGAGTAGGAAGCAGAGTCCAGGGCGCTGGGGATTTAGCTCAGCGGCATAAGCGCCTGCCTTGCAAGCAGGCAGTCGTGAGTTCGATCCTCGGTACCGATAAAAAATGAAAAAGACCAAAAAAAAAAAAAAAATGAGGAAGCAGAGTCCAAAGTGCAGCATCCTCATGGGACCTGGAAAGGGTGCTATCGGGAGGCAGAAGATGGGAGCTCAGGAAGGGAGCCTCAGGGTTTGGGAGCTCTGTGAACCCAGAGTGTTCTTGCTCATCTACATCCCCTTCCTTTTTTCAAAGTTTCTCTTTGGGAAACAATGTCTCCTTGTCTTGCTAAATTGCCCTGGCCTGGCTCAAACTGGCCTTTCTCTTACCTCAGCCTCCCAGAGGGAGGTGATTACACGGGTGACCGGCTCTGCTTTGTTTTTGAAACTGGGTCCACTGATTTGCCCTGGAACTTGAACCTTGAGACTGAACCCAAGTCATCTCCCACCTCTGCTTCCTTCTGGCTGGGAACCCAAGGGTGCACCAGCAAGTGTGGCCATACAAGTTTGCATGTTTTCACCAACTGGAAAAGACACGCCATTTATCCAGTCTAACATGTGAAGAATTGCGGACAGAAAGCAGGAAATAACAAAAGGGACAAGGAAATTTGGAAGAGAAGATGAAAGAAAGGAAAAAACATCCAGATGATGAGCTGGCTTGGTTGCAGACAGATGCTAGAGAGGTGAATTCCAAGGGAGATCTCCAGCTTTGGTTTAGATGCAAGTACCCACAGTAACACTAGGCCAGGGAGTTTCTGGCCTGTCTTTTGGAAGGATGATCAGGAAACACAGATAGACCTCCACTTACCCCCAGCTCCCAGGAGGTTTGTCAGAAAGATCAGCATGGGGCATTTTACTCTCAGTCTGCACCTAGCATGGGGCATCTGGCTCAGAAACCCACAGCACAGGGGCAAAAAAGACACTTGGCAGTGCTGTGGAAGGAGAGCCTCACGGGGACAGAAATGGCGGCCCCTTGGGTCTGTGGACTGAAGCCCACTCATGGGTTCTTATATCTCTCCTTTCTGTGCTCTGTTTCCCCTGGCTGCATTCTTTAACCAAAATGATGGTAGCTTGCAACTTTTACTGAGGTATTGGAGCGCTGTATCCTGAGGCTCATTTTTACACAGTCAGCAGTACAAGAGATAAAAGCAGGGTACAGATTAGAGTTCCAGGTCACCTACAGGAGCTGCCTCAGGCAAAGGCCTCACAGAACCAGGAAGAAGTGGATCCTCTGGTTCTGGGAAGAGATCAGCCCAGCTGATGTGGGCATTAACCATGGGAGGAGGTGCTCAGAGGGAGTGGATGACAGTCAGAGAGCAGGCATACCTGGACAGTTAGGGGTTATGGATTGGGGATACAGATTGGGGGTGCAGGGCCACACTTGGGGTAGACATCCCAGAATTGGCTTATCTGTTTTTAGGAGACCGGGAGGGGCCCAGACATTGGTATCAAGTCAGAGCTGTCAGGGCCAAAGGAGTCCAGCGGTCAGGCTGGCAGCTCTGAGACCCTTTTGAGTCAGTCAGGGTTTGGAGGACATTTGAAGAAGATTGTGGTCCTGTGGCTGGACCACAGTGGCTCCCTGAGGCCTGAGAGCAGCGCATAAGGGTGCAGGTGGCCACAGCATGAGCGGCTGTATCCTAGGAAGATCGTGGCCTAGGCTCAGGTCACAGTCGAGGGTGTCTATCCATAGGGCCTTCTAGTCCTTTGACTGGGAGGATGGTTGACAAATGGCCCCTTGTTCTCCCAAAAGCATTCATCTCCTCCACCAAACAATTGTAGTCTGTTCACAAACTTTTGGTATAATCCATAATTCATGGTGTCTTCTCCTGACAGGACATGAATCACCAGTGGCAAAGAGCTCTGAGAAAAAGCCATTGCCCTCTGGGCTGTGACCATCACAGCTTTGAATCATGTGGTCAGGATGGGAAGAGGCCAGTGAGGTCTTACGTGCATTCCAACCTGGTAGCTACCAGACTGGAGGTCTGGGGCCCATGACATCTACTGTCATGGAACCAAGCTCTGTTCCTCATATTAAAGTCTCCACAGAGCCTCTGAGTCCCTCTCTCCTTTCTTCAGCAAATGCTACATTGGGACCACTGTCACCTCCAAACCTGTGATGCTCCTAAACTCTGTGTTTTCCCCTCCTTAGACTGCTGGGAAAAGGAGCAGAAAGGCCAGGGCAAGGTGTGGACCACAGAGCCCAGGACCCTTCACTTGCTGTCTGGAAAATTTCAATCAACAGTCAGTTTGGCGAAGCCATTCTGCCCAGTTGTCACTGGCCCTTTGTGTTCAGAAATCTGTCCTGGGGACACGTCCCCTCTCTAGCAGCTTTGTGTCCAAGGAACTTCTTGAGGACCTCAAATCAGGCACCCGAGCTCACATGTATTTGCACTGCTACTGGAATGGGGAGGAGGAGTCTGGATCGCTTCAAGTCAGGCTCCAAGTTCCCATTAACAACCTGTGGTCTGCATAGCACATGTGGAGAACCCACGTGGTGCACCTTACCCCACAATTTCACTGACACTTATGTGCCCTGTGTAAAGTGTTACATTTTGGAAAGTGAGAAAATCTCCACATGCAAGACACAATATGTTCAGATGAGGCAGTGCATGAAAGTAATCTCAATACTCTGGGTGGCTGTGGCAGGAAGATCTCAAATTAGTAGCAATTTAGAAATTTAGCAACTCCCCATCTGAAAATGAAAAATAAACAACAACCTAGAGATATATCTCAGTCAACTAACATTACAGTAATGTTAAAAATACAAAATGTAAAATAAAATAAAAAATAAAAAATTCAAATGAAAACCAGCCAGGACCAGAGTGATCTCTACCAGTAATTCCAGCAACATGAGAGGCTAAGGCTGAAGAATTGCAAATTTGTGTCCTGCTCTGGCTACATAGGCTCCTGTCTTAAAAAACAAAAAATAGGGCTGGGGATTTAGCTCAGTGGCATAAGCGCCTGCCTTGCAAGCAGGGGGTCGTGAGTTTGATCCCCGGTACAGATTAAAAAAAACAAAAAACAAAAAACAAAAAAACCCCAGCAAAAACAACAAGAAAATCCCTAGCCAGAGATTTAGCTCAGCGGCATAGGCGCCTGCCTGGCAAGTCTGAGGTCATAAATTTGATCTTGGGTTACCCACCCCCCAAAAAAACCCTAAAGGTTGGAAATGCAGCTCGGCTCTTCTTGGGCTCATTTCCCAAGAACTATTAGTGAATAAAGGTGCAAAACAAATTTTAAAAGGCAAATTTTATTTGTACTTGAAAACAATGCTTAGAAAACTTCAACATGCCATGGACTGCTGATACCACAGTTCACACTAGGCCTCAGAGAGGTGCTGGCTATCTCTGGAAAGCTCTGTTCTAACGTATAAGAAATGAAAGCTCCGCTGACACAGATTTATCAGCAGTATCTCAATGACTTTCCTCCAACCCACCAACATCAAATGGATGATTATATACAAGCCTGCTGCTGTCAGTATTATTCCAATAGCAAAAGCCACATGGTGAGAGTGATGTCGTATAAGGAGACCCATTCCCAAAGTCGTAACTGTTAGCCCAATGCAGCTCAGAACGATGCATTCACAGATTGCAGACTTCCCACAGACTCTGCTCAGCATAATGATCCTTGGATCCTCATCCTGCACAGGTTGGTACCTTCTCATGTTTTGCTGCAGAGATTAAAGGAAGAAGAAAAATAGGTGACAGGTCAGGATCACCATAAACTGAAGCAGACAGCTCATATCTAGTTGTGTGCCTATTGTGTTACTAGTCAGAACTTCACCCTCTCCACTATCCTGAGGGTGCAGTTCAAAGGCCTGGCTTTTTGAGCAGATACTAATGCTCCCCCTTCTAGGAGACTCAGAGGCCCACCCATCCTGGAGACTGAACCCAGGGCACCCTACCAATGAGCTGCATTTCCAATCCTTTATTATTTGAGAAGGCTTTCCTTAAATCACCTAGGCCACCCTTAAATTCATAATCCTCCTGGTCTCAGCCTCCTCAGTAGGTGGGATAACAGACCTGCACCATCACGCCTGATGGCTCTATAGTATTTAATGGTTTCAAATACATCTTTACAGGTTTGGGGAAGTAGCTAAGTATTAGTGCATTTGTCCCACACATACACTTAAAAATCTGTACAAAAATTGGAGGAAGCTGTCCTGAGATATCCAGTAGGAATCATTCAAAACTTAGAGTGCTGGGATCATGGCACTGAAAGAAGGGTATCTCAGATCTCAAAGAGGTTGAGGCAGGAGAATCTGAAGTACTAAGTCCAGCCTGGGTGACCTAGAGACCTTTTCTCCAAAAAATACAGGAGAACAGTACTGTAGCTCAGCGGGTTCAATCTCCCAGTTATTGGGGGGGGGGGGCGGGGAGGAGTAGGCTCTGCCACCTCCAGAAACATCATGATTCCTCGACAGTCAAGTTTTATACTTCAGGCAGAAGTGATAGAATTTGAGGCCAAATCCTAAAAACATGAATTAGAGAGGTTTCTGGACCTCAGCCCAAGTAAAATGTTTTTTATATCTTCAGCCAGCAAGAGGACCCAGAACAAAGTTTTAACACGCAAAGCCCAAGGCTCGCCTGCAGGGTCCACATTGCCTGGACACTCCTGTTGGAGACCCCAGTGGATGGTATTAGGGTGCATTAGTTGTAATTAGTTTCTGTGGCCATTTAACCAATCAAATCCTGTTTAGTGCCAGGTATGACGGTGCAAGTCTATAATGTCAGCACATGGCAGGAAGCTCTTGAGTTTAGTGCCAGCTTGAGTTTAATGCCAGCCTGGTCTACATCGTGAGTGAGCTACATAGCAATTCCCTGTCTCAATAATAAATAATCCCCCCTACCCCACCACGTACAAAAAAAGAAAATTTGGTTGTATAGTAACAGAGGGGCGGGATGCTTGATGGAGATTCACTTTTTCTTTTCTTTTCATTTTCTTTTAGTTGTTTGGTACTTGCAATTGAACCAGTCTCTTTGCACTCAGCTGCACATCAAGTTCTTTCTATTTTTTATTCTGAGACAGAGTCTCACTAAGCTCCATAGGCTGGGCAAATCTTTCAACTCGAATATTCAAACCTGCCATTTTCCTGTCTCAGTCTCCTGGAAGGCTGGCCAGTCTTGGGCCATCACACAATGGTCTTGGTGAGATTGCATTTTATTTAGTTCTAAAACTTTTTTAGAAGTACTAAGGCTTGAATCCAGCCCTTCTCACTGAACTGCATCTCCATCCCTTTTTATTTTTTATTTTGAAATGGGGTCTTTCACAGTTGCCTAGCTGCCATTAACTTGATTCTCCCATCCTAGATTCCTGAATAGCTGAGACTAAGGAGTGAGCCAAGACACACTGGAACTCACATAAAAGGCTTGGCCTCCGCTGAATGAGGCCAATGATAAACTCATAAATCAGCCATTTTTCTTAACACAAGCAGAAAGAGCCTTTTACTGAGTGAAGGCCAGAACACCTCTTGATCTTCAGTTACCATCGTTTACCACTTCAAGAAGGAGTAAAAGCCCTTCTATCCCAAATGCATCAGACCTTGGGGTTTCCTAGTATTTGTATATTGCCAGACCCACGGATCTATATTGTTCCCCTCAAGTATTACTAAGAATTATCTGACATCCAAACAGAATGACTTATTACCTTTAATTTGAAAAATGACTCATCATATTAAATTTCCTGTTTCTTAAAATATCTAAATCTCCCAGGTGGGCTCCAATTTGTGACCCTTCTGCCTCCGCCTCCCAGAGGACTGGGATTGCACGCAAAGAGCACCATGTCTGCTCCACAATGCTGATGTAGTTTAGGATGAGTCTTGGTGGTCTTTTAAATTTGTTTTAGGATTTTTTTTTTTTTTGTCTTTTTCCTTTTTATCGGTATCAGGGATCGAACTCACGACTGCCTGCTTACAAGGCAGGCGCTTATGCTGCTGAGCTAAATCCCCAGCCCCTTAAATTTGTTTTAGATGTTTCCTTTTAAGACAGGTATCACTAAATCAGTAAGTTGTCTATATAGGGATTGAACCTGTGACCCTGCACCTCTGCCTCTAGAATACTGGCATTACAGGCATGGGACATTACACTGGGCTTAAATTTCCATAGATTTTTAGACCTGTTTATTTTCTTGTTTTTGTCCTGTTGGGACTCTTGCACTCCTGTCACATGCAGGTTTTCCTGTACTGCGGAAGAGAGCTGTGTGGTAGGTTTTGAAACTTAGTGGGTAACGTTCCCCACATCAGGCACTGGAGGCTTAAAAGGCCCAGCTCTTTTCACATGTAGGTTGCACATCCCTGATTTGAAAATTTACCTTGTGATCCAAGATTTTGAATCCTTTCAGATTTGAGATTTTAGGCAACAGATGGTTAGCTAGTACAGAGCACACCAGTGTTCTGACTTGGAAAAAACTCCCGATCTGGAAACTTTTGTGTCCCTGGCCTTTCAGACAAAGCATACTCAGGCTCTACCTCCTCTTCCAGTGCTCAGCACCGGGCACTGGACCTGGCCTCAGCCTGCTGCCCCCACCCCAGCTCTCCTGTGTGAGCGTGGGCATCTGGTGGATCTAAGGCATGTGGGGCCAGTGATATCTTTACCCTGGTCCTCAGGGTTCTTGGTGGGGAGAAGGAACCCTACTGACACAGGATGGCTGTTTTTGGCCCACTGTCCTGCTGGGCAGTGCTTCTGGCTCTCTGCTTCTGTGTTTGCCCAGCTCCAGTGCAAGAACTCAAGACATTTCCAGCTCCGCAGAAATAAGGCAGCGATGCAGCGCTGTGACATGGAGCCTGTGTTTGGCACCAGAACCAGGCCACACTGTGCTGTGCCTCCTTCCCTTCTGTCTGCACGTGAGGGGCTCTGTGTCTAAATCTGTGGAAAACATGCACAGGGAGCAGATGGAGGCGGGTGGGCCGAGGTTGCAGCTCTGTGGCAGAGGCTTGGCTGGGTGTGGGAGGCCTGCTCCCAGCCCGGGCACGGAAAGAGTAAAGAGGAAGTGAGTGGAGGCTGAGTCTCGGCTCCACCGAGGGATAGTAAGTCACTCAGGGAAATACGCACAAGGGAAAATAACCTGAGCGCTCCTAAGAGCTGTAGACAATCAAATACCAAACTTTATGCAAATGCACATGGCACTCACCTGGTCCTGGAAGCACAGGCCTTTAATTGCAGAACTCTGGGAGGCTGAGATGGCACTAACGCAAATTAGAATCCAGCCTGTGCAATTGAGCAACTTCGTGAGACCAAAATAAAAGAGCAGAAAATAAAAAGAAAATTTTAAAAAGCAGGAAATTAAAGTAAATACCCTAGTTTCTTTCTTTCTTTTTTTTTTTTTTGTCTTTTTCATTTTTATCGGTACCGGGGATGGAACTCACGACCGCCTGCTTACAAGGCAGGTGCTTATGCCGCTAAGCTAAATCCCCAGCCCCAAATACCCTAGTTTCAATCCCCCAGCTATGCACACAAATTTATGTTACATTATATGATACTTAAATATATAATATATAACCTACTTGATCAATTAGATGCCAATAATTGCATTATATTATAGATCAGATACTTTAATTCTTAGAAGCTTAGTCACAAGAGAATCAGATTTTAAAATGGTAGTCAGGTGTGAAACAAAGAACCATAAAGGAATAAAAGTATTTTAGAATACTGAATGTCATTAAATTAGGGCAACATTCATATTTTTAATGGATCCAAATAGGAAGTGTTAAAATCCCTAAAATATAAAAAACTTGTACAAATTCAAAAGAAAAATCATCTTACAAAAATGGTCAAGGGGTACAAGAGAGTATCCTGCCCCTGAAGAAATTAAGGTTATATATAATAGACACACACAAAAAGTAGCTCATCGAGGAGCTGGCAAAGAACCCCAGTTGTCTGTGATAAGGGTACAGTGAGAAAATAAAAACCAGAGACAAGTTTAGTGACACGGAGTGAGTGGGAAGTCGCGTCTCCAGAAGGGTCCTCTCCCGCACTTCAAACGCCACTATCTATTGGGCACATATCGAGACAGGTGAGGCTAGTGAAAGATTCTAGTCTGGCAGCAGAGTCACAGGTCTGTGAGTCCATGGGAAAGCATAATCCGGGGATGCCTCGGAGCTCAAAGAAGACTTTTTTGTCTTGTTTTGTCTTTTTGGGACAGGGTCTGGCAATGCAGTTCAGGTTGGTTTTGAGCTCACTTTGTAGCCCAGGCTGGTCTTGAACTCACAAGGAGCCTTCTTCCTCAGTCTCCTAAATGCTGGGATTATGGATGTGCACTACTACATCCAGCCTTGTAGATGATTTTATGCTAAGAATCTTCTCCTGCAGTATAATCCTGGGATAATTTAAGAGGGCATAGATGGTTTTATGTTAAGAAGAGTCAATGGGAAATCTCAGATTGGTGATACTGATAATCGCAAACCTGTATTTTATCCCTTAGAGAAGTATGCAAAATTAGCCATTGTGAATTTGTAGCCCCCAACACAGGTTTCCTAAGAGTACTTTACCATTAAGTGACTGCATTAGTCAGGGTTTTACTAGAGAAAAGATATAACACGAGATATACAAATGTATAAGAAATGGCAAGATTGGCTTACAATGGTCGGCCACAGAGTCCGATGAGGAAGCGAACAGAGGGTGTCTAACGCTAGAGGCCGAAGGATTCAATCCAAGGTCTGGAGGTCGTCCTAGTGTCTCGTGCAAGTGCACACCAGCAGGCTGATGGGTCTGTGAAAGAAGGCGGAAAGCTCTATGATGGAAGGCTAAAGAGTCTATGCTGGAAAGCGGAAGAGCCTACACTGGAAGCCAGGAGAGGAGGTCCAAACCAAAGGCAGAGCCTGGAGCCTCTCCAAAGAATGCAATGCTTTAGTCTTTGCTCCCTTCTTTTTATACCTCCAGGTGAGATCCACCCCAGGGTGCGTCTTCCTCACCCTAGGGTGTACAGTTGCTAAACCCAGTTAATTAAGTTTCTAAATGTCTCAAATTGACACAATCAACCACCACAGTGACTTTAGAAAAAAAAAAAAAAAAGAAGCAAACTACTGCATTTTTATGTGAAATGATTAGTTCTCTTACCTGGTACAACAGGAAGCTTTCTAGTAAACAAATGTCAGAAATGGTCTCCCCTAAATAACAGCAGGCACCCCGGAAGACCAAATGTGCTGGAGCAAATTGCGGCCAGCAGGGTTCTGTGTGAATTTACAGGAACCAGGCTGCTGAGTGGGTAATGAAAGGAACCTGCAGGCGCACAGGGGTTTTCACACAGCAGCTGAGGTGTGTCCTTCACTCCCCCAATGTAAAGGCCTCCCTTTGTGTGGAGACATTGAAAACCCAGTAGTAAGAAAAGACGGGATAAATGCACACAACTGTTCACTCCAGGGTCCTATGTTAAGAGATAAACAGGAAAGAAGAGTCCTGGTTCCCGCTGACTTACATTTGCACGTGGGTCACCTGCTGAGCATTTGCCAAAGAGGCTGCTACTGAGTGAAGGTCACTTGTAGTAGCCACACCCTGTGCCCAGCCTTCCCCATTCTCCCGGAGCAGGAGAACCCGCTGGGCCCTCATAAGCTTTTGCTCAGGTTCCTAGGTTCTTGTGGCTAATCCCACCTGGACTGTCTGGGCTGGATTCGGGGTGTGGTGCACAGGGGCGTGGCTGGCCCCAAATAAGGCTGCAGCAGGAATTTTTACTCCTGGTGAAAATCACGGGAGGGGTGAATGAAGGAGGACTGGTGTTACGCTGTTAAAAAATTTGATTATAGGAGTCTTAGAAAACGTGAAGTAGAAGGCAATAGAACTAGTACATAGAATGATACTGTAAGAAAACATAAATATTAACTGCGCAGCCACACACGGAGGTGCACACCTCTAATCTCAGCATCCTGGGTGACTAAGGCAAGAGGATTTCAAGTTTGAGCCCAGCCTGGGCAACTTCACACAAATGTAGATTAAAACAAAATCTGAAAAAAAGGTCTTGGGGATAAAGCTCAGAGTGAAAACACTGGCTAAATTCCTGGTATCATAAAGATAAATAAATAAATTATTAATTGCACTTCTTTTTAGGAGGTAGATGTATAGGTATCACAGTTTGCTCATTTACAGACTAACTAGAGGTGAGCCTATTAAAAATATTTAATAGCAGAGCCAGGGACAGTGCACACAACTGCGGTTACAGCTCTTCCCAGAGACTGACATGAAAGGGTCACGTGAACCCAGGAGCCAGAGGCCAGCCCGAGGGATATAGTGAGGTCTTATCTCCCCGCCATAAACGTTTAAAAAAAAAAAATAGGCTGGCCGTTTAGCTCAGTCTATCAAGTGTGCAACCTGAGTTCAATTATCAGCACCACAAAAAACAGATATGGTTTCTTAGCCCAGACTGAAGTACAGAGTGACCTTATGCTTGAGGTGATCTTTCTGCCTCGGCCTCTACAATGCTGGGGTATCATGTGTGAGCTACCACACCTGGCTGTTCAGGCATATCTAGAACATGTCTGTGTTTCTGTGTTACATGGGAATGGCTTTCTATGTGAGATTTCTTAGATAGTTTAAGACATCTGTTTATATAATTATGACTAAAATAAAATATATGTTGTATTACGAGCTGGTTTGGTGGTACACAGATGTAATTAAGTGTAATGGCCCACTTGAGAAAGTCACTCATGGGAAACCAAGAGTCAAGAAACAAGTGAGACTTTTTGGAAACTGCAGGATTAGCGGCCAATTCAGGTGGCTGCAGTTGTTGACTCTGATCTTTTGTTTTCTTGTTATACCCATGTCCAAGGACACAGACTCAGGTTGCCATGGATACCATATCTTACAACATCATCATTACTTTGGAGTGTTACGAGACCTTCTTACCTATCTGGTTATTTGACACACAGGAGGGGGACATTGGGCAGTTTGTCCATGTTGGGATATAACTCTTCCCTTTCTCTGTTTATGGCCAATTAAGGGGAAGGAGGACCATTGGGAGGGTGGCCAAAGTTCACTCTCTGTTTGAAGTCTGACTGCTAGCTAAACACCTAAGCTATAACCTATAGGCTATAAATAGTGAAGTTTTCAAGATGAGGAGTTTTCAAAGAGAAAAGGACAAAGCGGAAAAAGCAAAAGGGGTAACGAATGCCCTCATACCAGTACACGGGAGGCTAAGGCAAGATCACTTTAAGTGCAGTGTCAACTTGGGTTACCCAGTGAGTTCAAGGCCAGTCTCAAAAACAAAACAAACCTCCACAAAAATATATACACATATGTACAGTATTTGGAGAGAGTAAATAACTGAATTTGTATAAAACCCCAGATACAACACTATTATATTCATAAATGACAAATTCTAACTTGTTTCTGAAAACCAAATTTTTTCTCGTAGTAGATGAATTGAAAGATGTACCATGAAATTTACCTTGATTTCAAGTGTACACGTCATTAATTTGCAACTTTTTCACAGACTTGTACAACCAAACATCACCACTAGCGCCAGAACATGTTTACCACCCCAGAGACAAATGGTTGTTTTGTTTTTTTTTACAGACATGAGTCTAGTTTGAATGTTTTAAAAAAAATTTTATTTAAAGAAAGACTACAAAACAGAAAACGGATAGAAATAATACACACTTTTTTTTTTTGGCTTTTTCATTTTTATCGGTACCAGGGATCGAACTCACGACTGCCTGCTTTCAAGATTAATACATACTTTCAAAGAAAAAAAAAACAGTAAGAAATCACTAGTTGATGATTACAGATTGTTCTCTTACAAATAGTTATTCAAGATACTAAAGTGGAGGATATAAAGTGGGGATTCAAACAGTGAGACTGCAACCAGTTCTGTTCAACTATCCAACAAAAACTTAGAAATATGGTTATCAATCCTATACACTTAAATATACATGCAGTTATCCATATCTTCAATTATGTTGAGATTGAACAAACCCAAGCAGGCTAATATCACTATGAACAAAGAATAATACTATTTCTGGGGTTCACATTATATCACTCCAGGATCAGCACTGGGTACTGTAGTGTCTCTTTTTCTTCAAAGTATCTGTTCATTTCATCATGTGTCATAAGATCAGTTCTCATAAACTATTTATAGATTTACACATGCATGAGTCTTAACATGTATTTCTATCCTTTCTATATTAGAGGGAGAAACAAAACAAAGCAAGACAAAATAAAATATATTCCTATAAACACATGAAATGAAAAAGACATATAAGACCATTGTACAAGGAGTTCTATGTTTCCTGTGTTGTCTCTTTTTATCTTCAATAGAATTGGCTATATCATCAGACATAGTATAATTGAATATATCAGTACATAACAGTATTAATAAAAACACAACTTTGTATATAGTATAAAACTTCAAAAATAGGCAGTTATCAAACCAGAATGTGTATTGTAGAATGTTATCTTCAGTGTAGTTGCCTAGACTCTCAGACTTGATACTATCAATCATATCAGTTTTTAATAAAATCTGTTGATACCAAACAGCAATCAAACAAACCAGATTTAACTAGGATCAGTCATGATCAAACAGTATAAGTCATACAGGGCTCCAGATTAAGATAATAGAAAATTAAAGATGATTACTGTGCTATATCCTGATGTTTTTGGGATAGCTGTCTGTGCCCTCAAATGTAATGCAAGTAGATAAACTGGGACAGAACAAAATCTATCAAAAAAAAAAGAATAAAATCTATCTAAGCAGAGTGGTGTGAGTAATGTTTTTTTTTTTTTCAGAGTCTAGTTTGAGAGAGTAATGGGGTTTTAAATCCTGATACACTATTTTTTTTTTTTTTTTGTCTTTTTGAGATGGAGTCTCGCTATGCAGTTCAGGCTGGCCTTGAGCTCATTTTGTAGCCTAGGCTGGTCTCGAACTTGCAACGATCCTCCCACCTCATCCTCCCGAGTGCTGGGATTACAGACTTGAGCCACCATGCCCTGCTATCCTGATACAGTATTAACAATATCTCCTGCCATCTTTTTTTAAGACAGCCCCTTTCACTTCCCCAGGGTACACTATGCATTTTTGGGTCCGAACAAGACCCTTGGTTTTAAATTGGGGTGTGGGGGGGTAACCTGCTATTTACCTAAGTGTTTCTGAACCTTCTGTCTCTGGGACTTGATCGCTAATTGTATTACTTTACCTATTAAAGCCTGTCTTTCCAACCTGTCCACAAATACTGGTCTAGTTGCCCCTATTACTCTCTGGTTCTCTGTCACATAGAGCATTGTTTTCTCATATTTGATTTTCAGTCCATGTACTCTTTTTCATGTTAATTATATTTCCTATAAATAGCATCTCAGTGGACCCTGCCTCCTCATCTACTCCATGTGTTTCTTTTTTTTTAAATTTAGTGTATCAAGGCCATCTATATTAGAGATTATAATCAATCCTCTGCCTCATTTCTGTTATGCTCTTTTTTTTTTGTCATCAGCTGTCTGCTTATCTTCTTTATTTTGTTTTCTGCTCCATTCATTGAGGCCTCTCTGCCACTGTTCCTGGAATCCTAGTACTTTTCTCTCTAAAATGCCCTGCAGTATTCTCTGTAGAGTTGGATTGATGGTTGTGAATTTCCCAAGTTCCTCTTTGTCTTGGAAGCGTCTTGTTTCTCCATTAATTTCTAGAGACAGTTTAGCAGGGTATATCAATCTGGGTTGGAGGTTATTTTCTTTCAGGGCTTGGAATATTTCGCTCCTCGCTCTTGACTTGATGGTTTGTGTCAAGAAGTCTGCCGTTATTCTGATGGGCCTTCATTTATAGGTTATCTGTTTCTTGTCTCTAACAGCTTTTAATAATCTGTTCTTATATTGAATTTCTGGGATCTTGATTATTATATGCCTAGCTGTGTAGCTCTGTTTTGGTTGTAGGTGGCTGGAGTTTTGTATGCCTCATACATCAGAATATCATTTCCTTTTCCTGTATTTGGGAAGTTTTCCTTAATCATTTCTGTGAATAGCCTTTGTAGTTCCTTTGTTTGTACCCCTGCTTCTTCATTCACATTCTTTATTCTCAAGTTATAGATCCTCTTGTCATCTTCTAGCCTTTGTATTATTACTGCTTGTTTCCTTGTTGTTTTAAAAAAGTTTTTCCTTTCATAATCCCACACTGCAAAACTGTCCTCCAGTTTGGATAATCTATCCTTAGTTTCTTGCAAGCAGATTTGCCATCTTTCCATAGAGTTTTTAATTTCCTGGTGATCTCTTTGAATCTGCTTCATGTATTCTACATTTTGTTT